GGTCAGATCGATAGTCAGGCAAATTAATACTAAAGAAAAACTTGTATAATATGAGATTACTTTGGCTTCGAAATGACAAACACCGAACAAAAAAGGTAATTTGCGAGAGATGTGCCACAACGCATAAAAAATACATTCTTAGATGTTTTTATTAGTAGCCTACATGAACATTATCTTACACATTTTATCTCCCCAACAGATTCTGTCTCTAAATGCTTCTCATACTCGCTCCTCTCTGCCGCACGCGGCGCGTATCCCGCGACTCACGGACGAGCCGTTTACACTTGCCACACACACACAGCCTGTTTCGTAATGCTTGTTTATACTCACGCCCGGCTCCGCACCTCAAGTCTCTACAAGCGCATCTGGCAACATGGACTAGGCTTGACGCACGCGCGCAACCTGTGTCAACTCGCGCTTGGCTCCGTGTTTAAAACAAATGTAAATTCAGTCTAACTGCTTGCTAATTTCACTTGCATGAAATGAAACATTCAGCACATTTTCCACTTGTTCTTAAAATCCCAAATACCTAAAAATGAATAAATCAGCCTATGTAACCTATGTAATGCTTTAATAATTGACTAAAGTAATACAGTTCTTTATTTACACAAAATAAACAAATCTTTCCTGTGAAATTCAGTAATTAAGTAAATTCTGTAAAAGTAGTAATACCATTATAATCTTCCCTGCTGAAAAAACAATGGAATCCCTCCCAAAACAGATTAGAAAATTTATTGGATTTAAAGGTTATAATAAGAATTGTATTGGTTTTAATATAATGGTGTCTACTGGCATTTGATAGATTCTATTGGTGGGATGTAATCTGGCACATTGGAACCAATAGAAAAACAGTCATTCTTATTGGAGTAATGCCCAAAACATGCTATAAAATGGAATTTTGTAATGGTTTTAATGGAAACCATAAGAATTTATGTGATGGTTTCTATTGTTTTTTTCAGCAGGGTAACAATACCCATACTGTGCTGCACACTATTGACAATATTGAGCTGAAGCTTGACTTCCTGCAAAATTAAAATCGCAAATCAAATCGCAATCGCAATATCTGTCAAAAAATCGCAATTGGATATTTTCCCCAAATCGCACAGCCTTATTGTGCAGGCTAGTGATTCACCTGTCATGTCATTATCGTCCCTTGGAGGTGCCGGTCCCTGCTCTGTCAGGTGATTGGGTGCAGAACCTTAATTGTGTGGTGGTTGAGGCAGGCAGGGAGGACTCTAGTGGACAGGTATGTGACACATCCCTCTTACTGGTCATTCTCTGACAGGATGAGATGTCTTGGTATACATAGAATGGATCAGATTTGTTAAATGGAGCCTTTTCAAATCTGTTTGCTGGTTCCAGAAAGGTTGGCAAGGTTATGAAGTCCAACGCATCAATTTGGTGGTGGATCAGATCAAATTTTTTCCCTAACCATTTGTCTGGGGAACACTATGTTGTGCTTATATGAACTTGGTGAAACTGAAGTGTTGTTCAGTGTCCCTGCAGCTACTTGAGGTCTTCATATTTATTAGTGGCAGTTGTTTGTGTGTTTTTCTCAGTGTCAGGGTTATTATGCTTCACTAAAACTAAAATAAAACCATAAAAACATTTTTGTTACTTGAAATAAAGTAAGTTGAAATAAAATATAAAAACTTTAAACTTAATTTCATTTATTTTTAAGCGAACATTTCTCGGTTACATTTAGTTGAACTTGATGTACTAAAATAACTAACTGAAATAAAAATGAATAAACACTAAGACATTTTAAAAAATAAAACAAAGTTGAGAGTAACTTTCAATGGCACAGAGACCGTGTTCACTGAATACCTTAATAAAAAGATTTAAACACAAAAAATAAAACAAAAATGACAAAAACACAACAAAGTTACTAAAACTTTAACTAAACCTAAAATGAAAACAGACAATATAAAAATAAAAACTAATTCAAAATATTAATGCAACTATGATAGTATCTTAATGACACCAAAATAACACAGTTTAGAGTTTCCTACTGTACATTAGAGCCGAATATGGATGCATTACTGCTTTGTCTTATACTGCAGTGGCCAGGGTTCACGTCTTCACAAGGTTTAGATCAAATACCTGCAGCTAAATTACCACCATCACAATGACACAAGAGAAAATACCAACTCAACTTGTATTACTGACCAACGTTCAGGCTGCAATGCATTTATCATCCACAGAGCAAATAATTACTTCTCATACAGTATGACCTAAAAATCTGCAACATGTCCCATCTACACAAATGATTAAGTAGCCTGAAGTCTATTTTTGCAAAGCTATTTTTAACAAGTGCACTGGATTTCTAACGGATGTGTCCTACAATTTTTGGATGAAAAAAAGTTATCTTAATTAATGTCTCAAACTGACTCTGCAATATAAAGCCAGAGCACTTAATTAAAGCAAGTACAAGCATTTTCTGAGAAGATTAAGTGCTTTTTCTGTCAATTAAACCAGAATGCATTAAAATAATTATAGAGGAGGAAAGAATCATATAGACCACCAAAAAGAAAAAAAAGTTCACAAAAGCCCAGTCGTGCTTAATTAAAAGCTATGGCAAGAGCATGTCTAATGGAAATGTTTCGATCTTAAGTGTTTTGTAGAACAATGAGCTTCCACAAATTCAACATGAGCTGTTTAAGTATTACTCAGTGCTATGACTGCAGCACAATATATGAACCTCTAATGGGCTCCAAAATCAATAGCACAGTTTATTTGACATCTAATGCCTATAACGGGTTTTTTGTATTTGTAATTAGACTGCACTGATACGCCAGAGGGAATGTGTACTGTGGGAGGACAGAAGAATGCACTCAGGCCTCTGTAGAGCGGAAGCAGCCTGCTGGGAAGTGAAGAGGGCTTCTGTCCAGGGTGTCAGTGTTCTGCTCAGATGACACGGTCCAGCTCTACCTCCCGCTATTTCCCATGTACTTTAGTAATACTGTAGCAAATCTGATCCTATGTGCTCTGATATAACTGCTGGCTTTCTTCTTCAGATACAATAACTCAAACTGTGATCAATGTCAGTTCACATTCACTTTTTCAATCTGCAAGCTGTGTGGATTTAACAAAAATTAATTTTTTTCTCAGTACTGTCTGCTGAAAATTTAAGTCTTTTGTAATCCAACATGATTATTAATTTTGAAAGATAACGTTTAAAAAAATGTCTCGTATGTTGAAAGCACAAGAATAATTTATACTACAGTGTTGCAGTACAGTGCTGTGGCTTTCATGATCATAAAGGCCTGTTCACTACAAGAAAGGACACTATAACAGTAACGAGTTAGTAACTAAAACTATAATGATAATTACATTAGCATCCTCACCAATCAATGGATGATATCGATCTGTTTATTCCAACTGTGCACTTGAATTCAAATAGGATTTCGATTGGCTGTCAAAGTTTTTATCCATTCATCAGCTGGAAAAAAAAAACGCTCTAAAAGTGATTCCAACAATATGATTCTCTACGTCTTATATCATTATAGCTGTGTGGTGTGGACGCATTCTTAGTGTGAATGGGCAACCTTTCTAATCTGACTGAGAAAACTTCCAGTGATCAACTCTCGAAAACACCCACAACTGCCTCTTTGCACCGAACAGAGGTAAAATAACAGGAGAAAAGCAAAAACAATTAGAATGAATTCTTAGTTGGCAGCAAATCTTTCAATCGATCTTTTTTGGGGTACTTTACAATAAACACAATAAGCCACAACAAACCATATTATGCAGGATGTTGCAAGGCCATTTTTTTTTCAGGGTGTTTGAGGCAATTCTGCAAGCCAAGAAGGGTAAGGGGATTTTCCAAAACAATTGTGTGTGTTTGAATAGCTTTAACAAAAACCTAACAAAATCTTTTTTTGTCCTCTCAAATAGCCATTTGCTTTAACTGTATCCAAGTGTCCACTTGTCCAGTGGGATGTACAATACTTCTGCATGTGTGATATGCATTGTGCTGTTTAGTCTCGTTTCTATTTTGTATTTTTCGCTGTAACACCAGCACTGCTAAAATCATGTCCGTTTTGCCCTGTCTGTGGGAGATCTGAGTATTTAAAAATGACAAAAATAACAGAAAAATCAAACTATCAATCCTCATCCACCAACAGATCCTCAGCAAGTCTGTCACATCTGGGTTAAGAGATAAGTGAAGGTCAGACTGAATTTTATAAGGAATGACTTTGATTACTTTTTTTTTTAACCTTAATAACGCAACAGACACAGCTTTCACAACACTCATTTTCTTGTGAGTATCTGGCTGTGTACATGCCCTGAGGGATGCTAAACTTTGTTTTCTGAGATACTGAAGATTCTCACAGGCTGAACAGATGTTAGTGGCTAAGTGCTGCCAGGTGTGAGATCAAGCCCAGATAACAAGAATCACTCTGTAATCTTGTAATCAGCCATGGGTGATCGCCAAGAGCTTCCAGTAACGCTCATCGTGAGAGGGAAAGAAAGAGAGAGGCGGGGAAGAAAATAACTCTAAGATGTGACCAATTTCCTCTCCTGTCCATGGCATCTGCCCTCCATCAGCTCAGTCTTACCATTCAGTCTTACCTTTTTTGTATTTCTGTTCAGGTGGATGAGCACATTGCAAATATTAAATCTCAGAAAAATACATGTGCCTTTCTGAAAAATCCCACACAAAACACCACTGAAACCAGGGGTGGGTTCAATCCTAATTCAATTTTTTTATCGATTATTCTGCTGTTCATATACACAACAAAGTCATAACCAAAATCAGGTCTCTTAGACTATGATCTGACCTGTGACAGACAATTTAAACAGTTTAGATACTTGCTCAAGGTTTTTGTGTGTGAAATATTCACTGTTAAAAACTAAATTTCAGACGACTGTAGATGATTCAGAATCATTGAAGATAAAACGCGATGTACTGACGGATTAACTCCCCCCCATCTCTAACTAATAATATGACAGTCTGTTTGTCATTAATTGCTTGATACACCCCTTCAACCACTCACCATTACTGATCTCGGGCAAGTCGAATTTGGTAAAGTCCCACCACTGCAGACGATACGTTGTGTTAGCTATGTTGCTGGCCACTGCAGATTGACCGTCCCCAATAACAGCACCTTAAAAAGGAGAGAGGGCAAAAAAAGTGTCACATGTTAAAGATACAGCAATTAAAAATTCCTCAAGCAGTCAATATTTCTATGTAAACAGGCTGATAGCGCACATTCCATACAATATTCTTCAAAGGTTTGGGGTAAGTCATTTTTTAATTTTGAAAGAAATTAATGCTTTTAATATGGATGCATTAAATCAATCAAAAAGTAAAGACATTAAGAATGTTACAAGAGACAGTTAAGGCATTTATAATAGGGATGCACCGATACCAGTTTTTCCAGTACTCGCCCGATACCGATACTTTTATTTTTGGTACTTGCCGATACCGAGTACCGATACCAATATTTTCATTGCATTTGTACATTTTTAAAATATTGGGTACAGAAACCAAAAGGATATGTATAATGTTCGTTGGTTAACTTCATTTATCAAATAGATACAGTCAAACTAAAATTTATTTAGACACCTTCAACTTTTCTCACATTATCACGGTTTATTCGTTATAGTTTACAAAATGGTAATAAAATATGACAAGAACTCAGAGTTAAACTGTGTCAGAACAAATTCAGCTTGATAATGTCAGATAACTTTGATAGAAAGGTATGTAATAGATTACA